TGTCTTGAAATGAATGTCTTCACAAAAGTGTTCAGCGGCCTCAGTATCAGAGATGGCAGCCAAACACCTGTTCCCCAAGCAAGTTTTCTTGGATGAACACGTGGATTTACTGCCTACTGGCTCGCCTAACCTAAAACCCAGGGCTGGGTATCTGAGCTGGACAACGCTGCCCATCATTTCTCACCATTGGCCAATGTGGCATAATGGTTAGAGTGTTCGGCTAGGTCTTAGGAGACCAGGGTTCCAATCTCCACTCAGCCATGAAGTTCCCTGGGTGACCTTGGGCCAGTCACCATCTCTTAGCTTAACCTACATCACAGGTTTGTTGTAAGGATGACGCGGGGAGGTTGAGAACCACGTTACACCACCTTGAGATCCTTAGAAGATCAAAATGGTATGTAAAGGTAATAAATTAAATAAAATGAAAAAATTACCCATGCTGGCTGGTGCTGATGGGGGAGTTAGTATTGCTGTCTTCCTCTTCACTCTTTCCTGAAAGTAGTAGCCTGATCCTGTTTCTATTTCTTCAGACGTTAGTCTCACTGTGTCCAATGAAGCTAGCTCACAGAGAAGTGTGCATAGGATTGCAACATCTGCCTAAAAATATGTTACTGAACTTAATCCACTTTCTTCCTCTATTACCCTAAAGCCAATCTATTCCTCTTGAGTTTACAACAGGAAAGACATCCTATTCAGCCCTTCCCATCCCTATCTTTGGCGCTCAGATTCTGAGGCTAAAATCCTACAGTTGGATCCTAGACATCTCTACCTAGGCATAAGCCCCACCGAAGTCAGTGGGACTTATTCACAGGTATGTGAGCCTTAACTTGGATCTTTTTTGCAGATAAGGGGGCAACCCTGACCGCGTCTACGCAAAAGTAAGTCTGTTGAACTCAGTGGGACTTACTCCTGAATACGCATTCATGGGGTTTGCTGTTAATAGTATAATAGATTTGTGGTGCTAAATGTTTAGGTAGAGTAAATATTGGGACTTAATTTGAACTTGTATGTTAAGCCTGGGCTATAAGACAGTCTCGATGTGTATTAAAAAGGGGGTTTGAGGTGTTTAATTAGTGTCTGTGTGAGAAAGCTGTATGTCAGGCTTTGAGAATGTAATCAAGATCTATGTGTATTGGAATGTATGTGTACCTACTTCTGAGCATCAACAATTAGCATGTGAAGAGTTAATTAAGCTAGGTAAACGTCCTAAGTGTATATCAGTCTTTAATCCTGCTCAATCAACAAGTGTTGATGAACTCAGGGGAACTCCTTTGTCAGGTGACACCTGGGGGGGGATAAACTATTCGCACCTCAAAGCATCGAAAGAACTGACCATTGGGATGCAACTGAATAAAGCAGGCTTAGTGTTTAGGAACAGCAGAAGAAGGAGAGATGCCTTGGACTGGACTGCTGCACTGCGGTGGGGAACAAACCCCTCTTGAGATGACCATGCAGAGTGAAGGTGTAAAGATGCGAATAAATCATATTTCTTAACGTTAGGGCAGCATCCTCCATTCGCCAAAGGAGCACAAACCCTGAGTGTGTGCCTGGAACCCCTTGGGCTCTTGCCACCGCTCGGCAGAGAGAGGGGCAGGCACCTGACTTTTGTAAGAACAATACATTGCATACAGGTGAGTGCCAATTCATTTGACTGGAGCTTCCTTCCACGTAAGATGAGGTAGACCAATTACATTTTTTATTCCTGGCCATTTCCGTTTTCAACCTTTGCCTACAAATTACCAGTCCCAACTCTTTGGGGTGAGGAAGGCCTGGACGGTTACGGAAATAAATGAATAAGTTCACCTACCACCACCAACCACCCGAAAGACAGCGAGGCGTACTTTAAATTGAACTTCGCCATGCTCGTTTCCTTGGAAATGCTACTTAGCTTTTATTCCCTTGGAACTTACTCCCGACTAAGCATTCTTAGGCTGGGGGCGTCAGTCCCGTCGGCCTCAGGGGTTTTAAGGCTACAGTCCTCAACGCATGTCCCAGGAAGTAAGTCCCACTGGGCACAGTGGGAGCAGCCGCAGCTGTTCAGGGAGGACTGGGAAAGCCCTTCACCTCGACAGTGACTGCCCGTTCTTGCAGACAACGCAGAGCTATAGGGACCAACGGTCTGACTGTTGGGTCCCATCTCCCTCTCCCTCTATCCCTACACAGGATTTAGCAGCACACTGGTTTAGGAACTAAGCGCAGGGCGGCTTATTTTGCCGTCGTTAGTTCCCGGGCCCCGCTCCGATCCTAAGCACCCTTTTATGGATGTCTGTTCCACTGAGATGGCTTCAAGCTTTCTTTCTCCCAAACTTCAGGGTACCCTAATCAATGAAGCGAGGAGGAGGGCCTTCACTGAACTCTGTTTCGTCTCCAGCTTTTTAAACGGAACCAAAACTAAAACCTGGGGTGTTGGTGTGGTCTCCGGATACATCAAGCGCGCCTGCTTAACTGGCTTGTGGGTCAGCCAACCTGGGATCCAGGGGCCGGCGGGGTAAATACCCCCCTCGTGCCCCCAATACCACCCACACCCCCAGAGGCTGACTGAAATCCGGACCCCCCCCCCTTACAAGCTAGCAAACTTCTTTGATCGCGAAGTGGGGCTGACAAGAAGCTACGAGGGCGCGGGGGGAAGTTTCTCGCGAGCGAGGCAACAGAGAGACGCGCTCCATTTTCCTTGCTGTCGCTTTCCTGCTGCCTATTAATTGACGAGAGGACACGCAGGGCCGAGGATGGGGGATAATAATCGTGGGATGATGAGCATCAGAGCCGGATGATGATCAGGGGGAGAAATGACAAAAGGAGCGAGAAAAGTTGCCCGCGCGCCTTCCCTGCTGCTGGGGCAGCGCCGCGCTCCTCCGAAAACGTCCTAGGCAGCAACTTTTCCTTGCCTCGCCTTGTTTTTCCTTGGCGGGGAACAAAAAAAGTGTTTCGGACCTCAAAAACAACAACAAGAAGAAGAGCCATGCGTTTCCTTTATGATGATCATCACCAGCCACAATCATAGTAATAAGAGAAACCCTGCCTAGGCAAACGGCAGGGCATTGCATCGCCCCGATGTTTTCCCCCTAGAGGGCTTTTTGCAAAACTTTTCTTCTCTCTCTCTTTCTCTCGCAAACACAATAAACAACAACAACAACTCTGGCGCTGCTGTTCGACGCAGGGCGTGGAGAGGCGGCGGTCGCGGCAGCTTGGCTGCTGCTGCTGCAGAATCTGGCCGCAAGATCCATTGGGCAGACAGATGGAATTCCCATCGCAGGCCGGCCAAAGGGCCGCGGACGGGACGCAAAGGAAATCCAGCCACAAAGCTGTTCAAGCTTTTGAAGTCCCCCGGGGTGCAAGGAAGGGAGTTGGGGGCTGGCTGGCTGCAGCTCAGCGCGAGGCGGTGAGGGGGGGGTGTGTGAAAATAGCGAAGAGCGCTTAAACCAAGCACTCAAAAGTCTTGCTGCCAGGGAAGCCCCTTTATATTTGAGAACAAGCGCTGAGGGTCTTACCTGGGGGCTGTATTTTTCGGGTGCTTATTTAATTCAAACCAAAAGTGTAAATCGTGTCCTATTGACCTCTGGCAGGTGTCCGAGCAAAAGGCTGCGGACTTACTTACTTGAGAGCCAGGGTCATTGAAGCAGATGGGATTTCTTTCCCAGTAAACAAGAGTTCCCAAGTGTCAAGGGTAGGGCTCCCCCGCCCCCCTTCCCTCAATAGTTAAAAAACAAACAAACTGGTTCATCCAAGGGAAATAACAGATTTCAGACGAAGTGTTATTACTTCAGATGTTCTTACACTGTTTACTTATTTATTGCTAAGTGCCTTTGCCTTCCTAATGCTAATTTTGAATGGCCCACCTTAAGGCAACGTTAGCACTATCACTGTCCCCTGATTTCAGCGGAAGAGTTACGCACATGCTTAATTTGCTCCTAGTTGTTAAGCACCCTTTCCTGAGAGTAAGACGACTGAACCAAGCAGGGTTCTTAGTAAACAGGATTAGGAATGAGCTGTACAGTACAGTGCTTAAAGTTGGCGGGATCGTGCCCATAGAATCTATAAAGTTTATAGATTTATGGTAAGAAGATCCCGTCACCCTTCTTTTTTCTTTTTCTTTTTGCAGAAAGGAGAATATTGCTTCATTTATAAGTAGGGCATCAATCTTTCGACAGTTTATTCATCAGTGATTTGGCATCATGTTTGGTGAAGCAGTTTGAGGCGAGGGAGAGGAACGAAATTATTCCGGTATGTCATGTATCTGGTGTGGAATTGCAATCCACAGCCCACTGAGTGGAAATAAGCCCACTGAGGCACGTTCCAGTCAAAGTCAAGCGCATTTAAAGCTGCGATCCTAGGAATTTCCGCTAGAGAGGGAGACCAATAGAATTTGATGGGACTTACTTCTGAGTAAACATACAGATGCATAGGGATGCAGAAGTGATTTACGTTGTTTGGGTTGGGGGGAAGGGGTTCCTGATTAATCCTATATAACTGCAGAACTTCCAGTCCTAAAGAAACGTATTTGAAAGTCGCTGTTTTAATTATCTGACAATATTTATATGCTGCTTAATAGACAAAAAAACTGTAAGCGGTTTACACCTACAAATCCCATTTCATGCAATTGGGCTTGCACCCGGGTAAGTGCGCTGTATGATAGGGATTGTTCTTACCATGATACTAAGGCTCCTTTGCTGTTTTTCACGGACTTACACGAGAGCAAGCCCCACTGAACTCAACAGGCCTTACCTCTGAGAAAACAGGCATAGGATCATAGGAGCCAACTTGGAGTGGTGGGAGCTTCGGCCCCCACAATAAAATATTTGAGGGGGCCGGGCCCCCGCAAAATTAATGCGCATTCCCATTCAAATGGTGTGTGTGCACTGCCTCGTGTGACTGATTATGCAGGGAGGGACTGACCTGGGCCGTCACAAAATTTTATTCAAGTTGGCAGCCCTGCATAGGATGGCGCAGTGAATCTTTCCAGTACTTAAAAGGGTGGGAAGACTTTGCGTTTTCTTCCACATACGCCTGGAGAGGGTTTGAGCCTTAGCCATGCGACAAGTTTACAGTTGTGTTCCTAGTCTTTTCCTGCAGCCCCGATCCTATGCACGTTTTAGTGGGAAGGAAGCTTCTCTGATTTCGTCAGGAGTTACGTCCAAAGAAATGCGCTTAGGATGGCCACCCTCGACATTGCGTGTTTCCTCCAAACACACTCACACGTTCTTCTGCGGGGCGGGGGGGGTCTGCCTTCCTTCTTGAAAGCAGTTGATGAAACGCTTCTAATTGCTCCAGCCCGCCATCCATTCAGGAGAACAAAAGTTAACATCATTTGACTTAATTAAGTTTTGTTCGTCGCTCTTTTTTAAAAGGCCAGGTCTGTCATGGTTGTACAGACAGCAAGCTGCCGGCGTCAATTCCCCAGAGCAGCATCTGATACCGTTCAAAGTAGGTTACCCACCTGTTGGCGGGCTGCGCCTCGTTTATGGGGCGACGGCTTTTTAGCTCTCTACAATTTAACGCTTTGAGAAAGCCGCAGTTCGTCTCGGGTTTCCTAGATCCGCTGGCAAAGTGAGATCCTGCTGTCTAGAGGGCTTTGAAGGAATCTCAGTCGGATTGCCCAAAGTTCAGCGGAGGGCAGGGGAAAATCAGGGACCGCGGGGTATTGTTGCCACCTTTGGGGGCTGTCGCGGCTCTTGTGTCTTTGGCACCTGCGGTGGGAAAGAAAAACGTCTGCAGGTGAAGGTTTTCCGCCTTACAAGATGCGAGGGGGAGAGGGCGGGTTAGAGAGGGTGGGTTGCTTATTTCCGTGAACCTGTTAAAGGCACAGGTGCCCTGATCTTTTAAAAGTTGGCAACCCAGTGTGCAGTTGACTTTTTCTAGCAACTGGTCATAGAAGCAGCCCCAGTTTGCAGAAACAGGAGTGCAAGAAATATGTCTTTCAGCATGAGGTAAAATAAAAGTCTCTTCTAAAACAAATAAAAATATGAGATCCCGAAATATCCCGCGTGCGTGTATTCTAAACCTGTGCCTTTTATCCAGCAGTGGAAGATTCACAACGCAGCTAAACTGAAATGCCAAAATGTAGGCCACATTCATAAGCATATTATTGCTTGGAGAGGGGAAGACCGAAGTTCAGTGGCAGGGCACCTGCAATGCATGCAGAAGGTCCCAGATGCAATCCCTGGTATCCCCAGGTAGGAAGGACTCCCCTGAGAGTAGACACTGCTGAACGAAGGTGGGCCAATGGTCTGATTTGGTCTCAGACAGCTTCGTACGTTCCTAAATGCTGGATAGCTCACTTGGTTAGAGCGTGGTGCTGATCACACCAAGGTGGCAGGTTCGATCCCCGTATGGGACAGCTGCATATTCCTACATTGCAGGGGGTTGGACTAGATGATCCTCAGGGTCCCTCCCAACGCTACAGTTCCACGAAGAGGGTAAGTGACTATCCTGTTGGCCTCATTAAAAAACTTAAGGCATAATCTGGCCAGAGTTAAACAACCCTGAATGCAATTATCTAAGGGAGAGCCCCACGGAACACATACCCTATCCACACTGACTCAGAAGTAATCCAGAGACGGGAAATCTATGGCATGTGCGCCCATGCAAATGGTGATGGGTTCGACTGGTGGGCTACAGTCGAATGCGCACTCCATAGGATGCGAGTCCTATTGAAAGCACTGGGACTTATTTCCTAGGAACCAGGCATAGGATTGCGCTAATTGCCTTTAAAATAAAGGGATGACCGTCCGTCTAGACCCACCGTGCGCAACGAGCTTTCAACGTCTGATCATAATAAGTTAACAAACCTTGAATTGGAAGAATAGATGAATGGAACTTCCCCAAATCGAATTTCCGCCGGTTTGGGGGGGGGGATGGGGCAGAGTGCGATAGGGTTGCCTCTGTGCGCCACGAGAACCAGTCTCCAGCTTGTGGGGTTTGAAAAGACTGAGACGGTTTTGAAACGAAGCCATCCATCATCTTCACTAAAGTTTCCCGATTAAAAAGTTGAGCTTCGGAGGGGACTTCAAAGGCTAAAGTCCTCCTGCATAGACTACCAAAGAGATTTCTCTGACTTGTTGCAGGAGGGGGGCGAAGATAGGGGGCTTGACAGGGGTCGAAACTTGTTTGTTCTGGTGTCTATATCTGTCACTATCTGAAGTACAATCGAGCCAAGACGCAACAACAGCCCTTGGAATTTTTTTCCCCCTTCTTCAAAAGCTTCAGATTTAAGAAGTAGATGTGGGGGCGGGAGGGAGAGATTATCAATCAAATTAAGCAGTTCAGAGGGGGAAAATAGCCTATTTATTTAAAGTTATTCTGACAATCCCGTTGCCAGTTTCAACAATCTTAGTACAGATGTGCATTTTGCCAAGAAATTTCCCACAAGGATTGAGGTTTTGGCACATGACTCTTCAGTATATTAGTTCAAATTATGTCCCACTGGTGTTCTCTCTTTTTTCCATTTTCGTCCCGAAGGTGTTCTAAGAGCCAGATGTTAAAAGGGTGGTTGTTTCTTTCAGTAACACTCCGCTATAAACTCTTTAACATTGTAGTTCTAGGCACACTTACTTGGGAGAAACTGCTTTCACATACGTAGGATTTCCTTCCAAGTATTGCGTAGTTAAAAATCCTACTGATTTCAGGGGAAGAGTTAAGCAAATGCCTAGTTCTCACTCCTCACTGATATCAAAGGGACTTAGTGCAATCCTAAAATGTCTACTCAGAAGTAAGTAAGTTCAATGGAAATTACTCCCAGGATACAGGCTTGCAGAAAATGACTTAACCTGGACTGAACCGTGTCCCTTCTCATTCACTAGGGCTGCAGTACTGTATTTAATTATTTGTATTTATATATATATATATACATATAATACATACATATATATATATATATATATATATATATACATACCCTTCCTCTTCACCTGACGGGACTCAAGGCGCCTTACAGATAAAAATAAGAACCGCTAAAAACATAGGGAGGAGAGGAGATAATTAAAAACTGATTAAACATTTATCAAATTAAAACTTGATACAGATATAAAATCTATTAAAATCACACCAATAATTAGTCAGTTCCCAAAAGCCTGTTGGAACAAGATAGCCTTCACTTGCCGGCCAAAGGATAGCAATGAGGGAGCCAGTCTAGCTTCTCTAGGGAAGGAGTTCCAAAGTATAGGAGCAGCCACCAAGAAGGCCCTCTCCTGCAAGTGGGGCCCAGAGAAGGGCCTCCCCCAAGATCTCCAAACCTAGGCGGTTTCAGATGGCTTGGACCTAAGCGGCTGTCGGGCTTTATAGGTCATAACTAGGACTCTGAATTGTGCCCAGAAATAGACCCGTAGTCAAAGGAGTTGTTGCAACAGGGGAGCTGCATGCTCCCTATAACTGGCCTGGGTCAGCAATCTAGCTGCAGCTCCTTGAGCCAGCTGAAGTTTCTGAGCAGTTTTCAAAGGCAGCCCCACGTAGAGCGCGTTACACTAATCCAAGCCGGTTGTAACTAAGGCGTGGAAGAGAAGTCCCCCAGCACCACCTTCGGATTGGCCCCTCTAGGAAAGAACGGCGGAGCCACTATAAGACAGTGCCCCCCAAATCCCTGTAGTCCCTTACCTGGGAGTAAGTCGCATTTGAACTCAATAGACTTACATCTGAGTAAACATGTATAAAATTGCTCTGTAGCTGATGTGGTTAGATGTACTGTTTCCTACCTTCTTCCTGTAACTTCGTACTTAGGATCACTTTCCACCCATCCCATTTTTACGAAAGATGCTTTACAACAGGACTGGGATGAAGTGAAACAAGCGTAAAAAACTAAATAAATGTTAATATCGAGCCGCTTCTCTTATAAACGGAATCTTGGTTTCAGCAAGGAAAAAAAGACCTTGGGTTTTCAATTTACAGATAGCACTCTAAAGATTGCCTAATTGTATCTGACCCCACCTTTCCACTTACCAGATAAGAAATTAATGCCCATAAGATAAATACAATTGTTCCTTCGCAAACTTGTTGTGAAACAAGTGTTCGATCATCTTTCTCGATGATATTGGGACTGTTTAGACCTGTTCAGATACTTAGTGTCTTCCTCCCATCTACGCTAATGGAAGATTTGAGGGCAGAAGGACTAAGCGTATTTTCTCCCCAGTTAATTCCGTGGAGTTTATCCTCTGGGAAGTGTTCCTAGGACTGCAGTTTTAACCATCGAAGGAAGGGGGTTGGGGGGGGGATGGGGATGAAGAGGGAAATGTTTAACGCAGCACTTTCTGATCACTTGTAAAGCAAAGAATGTAGATCCCAAACCGTTCTGCAAAATCGTCTTGTGTGATTCATCAGCACAAGCAATTTGCGCTCTCCCCCCCCCCCCCTAGAACTGCCTAGCAAAGCCTTTTGAATGCTGAAAAGTTTTTAAGCTTGCACGTACTTAATTGAGTGTTTCCGGTCTGAGTGAATTCCAGCCACTTAGTTTTCAGAAAGACAATTAAAAAAACAAAGAGGGGGGCAGCATTCTTTGTCCAACCACAAGCACCAAAAGGAGAACATTCTGGATTTAGAACAGAGTGTTTAGTACCGTTTTTTCTGGTTACATTTATTTGAAAAACGTGGCCTGCCCTTATGCAAAACTTTGGATTTGAGTGCATTAACATTTAAAGCACTTCAAGCTTCTTTATTGTTGATCTGGTGTATCTTAATGTGTGATTTCTGGAGTGATTTCCCTTCGATTCTAAAACTGCAGTTGCTGAGCGCTCAGTCGCTCGCGAGCAAGTCCTGTCGGAAGCTGACTTCTGAGTAAACCCCGACGGATTCTTGCCGAAGGAAATGCAGCTTATGGTTCGAAGTTGTCTTCCTGTTACCTGGATCTCAACAGCACCGAAACAGATGAAAAGCGGACGGGGCGGGGAAATGTGAATCTTCGTTTACTGGCTTCCTACTCCCCCAGCCTTGCAAATAAGCCATCAAATCTCCGGCTGAAGTTTTTGCTGGTGGGGAGGGAGACCGCTCCAACTTGTGCCACCTCTTGTAACTTTAAAACGGGGGAGGGGAGAACTTTTCACAAAGACAAGTGCTGGGGGGGGGGGGAGAGGCTGGGATGTGTGGAAGAAAGGGAGGAGAAAGCCAGAGAAAGAAAGGGAGGGAAAGCACCTCTGTTTAACAAGATAATTCTTGCTTGCAGTTTTATTTCTCCTTTCGACTTCCTATTCTTTTGTGGCGTGACACGGCGCTTTTTCTTTCCCCATCGGGGACCCTTTTCTCTGTTCCGGCTCCCCCTATTCTGAACTGTTTTACAGGCTGGCTTTGTTACTTGTCGGGGCGGGAGGGGAAGAGGAGGGAGAGAAGAAACAGCGGAGAAAGTCCCGCTTCCCCAAAGCAGCCCCACCAGCCTCAGGGGGCTGTGAGGTTGCCTACGCATGCAGAACATCCCAAGCTGTTTTTGTGCATCGGGCTGGCTAGGGGGCAGCGGGGCGCTTGCACCCAATCTTCTCTCGGACAATAGGAGGCTGGACAGCTGCACAGCCGCCACAAAAGCTCCCCTCTTCTGCCCGCTCTGTTTACTTAGTGTTGCTTGTGACCTCTGGGCTGCACTTGTTGCTAATACAGATGCTTATCAAGCCCGTTTAATTGGCTTTCTTCCTAACGCGAAGGCCCGGCGCTCTTTTTCTTTTTTTGCTCCCCCCCTCCCCCCTGCCAGTGTTTCCAAACAATTTAATTGACTCTTCGTAATATTCATGTGCTTTCTCTCTTCCATTTCTTTGTTGTTCACCAAAAGAAGAAGAAAAAAGTGAGAGATTGGAAATAGCTGGGGTTTTTTTAAAAAAAAAACCCTAAATATGTGGTTTCCCCAAATCAGGAAAGTGAGGTGATAAGAAAAGGAGATTCCAGGTGTATTTATAAGTGCAGATCTCCACGGGAAGAAGTGGTGTTTGAGAGATAGAGAGAGATCCAAGTGAGTTTCAGTTGAATGGGAGAAATATCTCCAGAGATCTATGATATGGAGATCTGGAAAGAAACCTAGACCTCTCTTCCTCTCCCTGCCCCCCCCCCCCCGTTTTATTCTGCTAAATAAGCTGAACATAACACATCCAATAATTTTTTCTTGAAAATCTATGGAACTTATATGGGAAGAGCCACAGGCTCCCAGAAAGCTGTGCATGTTTCTTTCTGAAGTTAGGGGATAGTGAGTATGAATAACAACATGAATCAACAGTAACACACAAAGCCTTTGATTTCACAGTCCAGAAAATATGAAATGTAGATGGATACAAGGTTGTTTCTATTCTGATGTTTCCTTATCCTACTTAACAATAAAATGTTGTTGAAATAAAATTTCAAAAGAAATGTTAATTGAATAACAGCACAATTATATACATGTCTACTGAGAAGTAAGTCCCCTAACTCACTAGGTAAATGAATGCAAGACTAAGTCTTACATAATACACACATATATATCATGGATTTATACACAGGTGTGTTGCATATGTGTTTACAATAAGATGATAAATACAAATAAAACAATTGTAATGTAGCCAGGAGAACCCCAGTTGAAATCTCACCTATGTCCTGAAAAAGGTTGCCTTAGGCCAGAGGTTTTCAACATTTTTGAGTCCAGAGCTCCCTTGACCAACTACCGGTACATTCTTTTTGTGGCACCCCTGTGGGGCTCAGGAGCCCAGCTATGTTATCCCTTGCCTGCAGAACTGGCAGCCTCTCACCCTTTTCCCAACCCCCTCTCTTGTGGAGTGTTGCCTCAGCCTCCTCTCCTCTCCCCTTTCATTGGGAGTCCTCCAGGCAGCTGCTCCTGCTGCCTTCCCTGGTCTCTGAGCTGTCCCCACTCTGCCCCAAAGAGAGGTGCCTCACAGGGGCCTGGGAAGAGGATGCCCCCAGCCTTAATGATGCAATAGAGGCAGGTCAAAGGTGAATGTAAGGCCAGCAGCACCTTACCTTGAGAGGCAGCTGGGGCAGCAGTGGGTGCTGCCAGGCCTGCATGGTGGAAAGGCTTCCCTTCAGCACCAGGCATTCAGCTCCCAGGCAGGCCTTGCACACAGCAAGCACAGGAAAGGCCAACACAGCGCCTGCCTGCCTGCCTGCCTGCCTGCCCAGTCTCCCTCTTGTCTGTCCCTTCCCAACAGCAAGGGCTGGCTGGCAGGGCTCCCTCATCCAGTTGCTTTCTTACTCCGAGGCCACCTTAGCTTCTGGCAACCCACATCCCCATGCCAGCCACAGAGCACCATTCGCCCTGTGGAACTTATAGCCAGGGCTGCTGCAGCAAACAGCTCTGCAAGCCTTTGGAAGGCAGAGGGAGGGAAGGAAAGAGGGACAGAGGCCAGTGTTGTCCACGGCACCCTTGACCACCATTCAAGGCACCCCATGGTGCCATGGCACACTGGTTGAAAACCACTAACTTAGGCAAATAACTCTCTCTTAGCTTCAGCATCTTCTCATCTGCAGTAAGATGGTAATGTGTGACTTTTGTCAACTTTACAATGTAAAGAGGCATGGCTTTGGACACTTTGCTAAGTGCTATATAAATGCTAAATTTCAATATATAATCTATCTAGGACACCACATATTGTCATTTTAACACTTAGTATAGAGCATTGTCCTATACAAAACAGGACTTTGGGTACAAATATGGTTCTCTAAAAAGCACAGGAATCCATCCTGGTCCAACAGAAAACTTTCAAAAATCTGCAGCCAAGAAATACCTGGATTACGACTGACCAAAGTGTCACAAATCAATGAGCAATAACTCAAAAGCCTATTCACTGTTTTGGGACATTTTGTTGGCCTTAAAAACAGTATTGTCCAATTATAAATATGGGAAAACTATATCTCTGTCTATGCTGCTGGATTGTACAATCTGGTAAAATACACACCTATATGCACACTTGGGCATACATATTATCAATATGGCCCTGAACCAGTCACAAAAGGACTGCTGGAGGTGCATGCTACTTTCCTATCTGGCATGGAACCAAGCAGTACTGTCTTCCTGTTGAGATTGTAATCTCTTCACAGCAGATCTGACTCTTTAGGAAAGCCCCAGTGTGAAAAGGTAAATCCAGCCCTCTGGCATCATCAGCTGAGATTCAAGACTACCTAGTGTAGGACAAGGAGTCATTCAGGAGACCTTATCTAAAAGATATGTAATACTGCCTCCCAGGAGAATAGCTCCAGGTCACTTCACACCACCAAAAGAAAAAGACAAAAGGATGGGGAGGTGCAAGTATCAGGGTAAAAGTTTCCTCTATCTATCATCTTCAGTTAAATGATACTGTTCTTTAGACCTCCAAAATTCCTGGTAAAGAGAGCACAGGCCTACTTGGAGGAGGTTTTCTGCCCTCTGCTATGTATCTTTAGAATTAACAATACAACAGAGAGAAAAGTATTGCTATGTTGCCTTCTCTTCTGCTGGTTAAGTTACGGGAGAGGAAAGAATGCTTGGACTCACTGACCAATGAAAACCAACAATTGTGGATAGGCAAGGTACTCATCCTTTACTGCTTGCATTAAGGTCAAGAAGACAAGATCACACTGCTGGGATGCACTGCCATACTAATATTTGAAATAGAAGCTCAGCAAAATAGTGGCATGGGTGGGAATGATGACATCACCACCCTATTACACATAATACAAGCTCTCCTTCCCCGATTTGGAGTAGTTGCAAAACTCATCTGTGGCTGGGAATGGAGGTTTAGCAAGTCATTGTTACTTTGGATAACAGACAGGTAACTGGAACATTATACACTGCTGGTAACATAGGGTCAGCAAAGTGCATGATGTGAAAGGATGGTTGTTGTTAAATTTATGACCCATTCTTCATCCATGGTGGGTTACAACCATTTAAAATTCAGTATTAAGAACAGTTAAAACAGGGGCAAAAGAGAGACTCAACTCAAGTGCAGGCATTGTCCTGATGCTCAGACCTTGGCCAGACTCACATGACTGCCACTCTAAAGCTTTGAATGCATGCTCAGCAGGACAGTGTTTGCGGGAAAGGTCTATACCCTGAGATTCTAAGGTTGTATATGAGTGCTTACCCTTGTTGACCTCTGTAGAATTTATTTCAGAGTAAATGTCCACATCATTACACTTCACATATGTTTACTTGGATGCAAGTCTCACTGAGTTCAGGGGAATGTAATCTCCTGTCACTATGCTTAGATTTGTCGCCTTCATACTTGGAAAGCCATTTCACATTCAGAGCAGTAGAATCCATTTCCCACCAGGTGTTGTTGTTAATTTTCACGGTAGCCAAGTTTGCTAATGACATCAAATTGTTAGGTTGGTAAGAATAGAAAAGGAACTCCAGAAGGATCTCTCTAAAGCGGGTGACTAGGCATTAAAATGGCAAATGAGATTGAAATTTAGCAAGCAGACTCATTGGGACAAAAATCCAAAGTTCAGATATACACTTATGGGGTCTGAACTGGTGGTGACTGACCAGCAAAGGGACCTTGGGGTTGTATAGCATGGCTTTGTGAAAATGTTGACTGGGTGTGTTGTGGCTGTGGAAGGTGAATGTTAGGACGCTGGCGGAGGAAGAGGAGTGTGGGAGGAGCACACAGCCCCCGGCAGCACGATCCCCAGGGTGCCATCACGGCTGCCTCCCCGCCCGTGCTGGGCGTCCCGCTGTATTAGGATTAGGGTTAGGGTTCCTTAAGAAAGGGATTGAAAATAAATCAGTATCATAAAGAAGTTATACAAATCTATGATGTGACTGTGCTTAGAATAATGTGTTCAGTACTGGTCAAAAATAATATTGCAGACAATAGTAAAGGCTCAGAAAGGGGCAACTGAAATTATATCAGAGATGGAACAATCCTCTTTTGTAAAAAAGTTATAACGATTGATGCCTTTTGGTTAAGAAAAACATCAGGTAAGGAGGCGGGGATATGGTGGGGGCATATACAATCATACATTATGTGGAAATTATTCTCCTCCTTTCATAATACTAGAATTCAGGGTCATCCAATGAAGCTGAATGTTGGAAGATTCATGACAGACTTTACAAAGTACTTTACATAGTGCACAGTTAAACTATGGAATTTGCTCCCACGCGACATGGCAATGGCCACCAACTTGGATGGCTTAAAAAGAGCTTTAGATAAATTTGCCAAGCTTTATCTGGTTACTAACCATGATGGCTGCATACTGCCTTCAGTATCAGAGGTGGTATGCCTCTGAATACAAGTTGCTGCGGACCACAAGCAGGGGGAGTGTTATTGAAGTCATGACTTGCTTCTGGCCTTCCTATAGTATCTAGTTGGGTACTGTGAGAACAGGAGGATGGACTAGAAGGGCCTTTGGTCTGATCTAGCAGCAGTATTCTTATGTTTTTATGTCCATCATTACCAGCACCATTATAACTTTTGCTTACACGCATCTCCTCCACTAACCCGCATTCGACTCAAGCACAACCACGTATACGCATAGTGCCAGGAAATAATAAAATGAATTGATTTAAACAGGAAAAAGGTGTGAAAGGGGCAAAAGGCCCAAAAAAGACTTGGAAAACTGCAAAAATGGGGAGAAAAGGAAAGGTAGCAATCCCATCAGCCTTTGCACCAACCTGTGAAGAGCTGGAGTTTGAGAAAGGAGGGTTGGGAGGCAGCAATTGTGGTGGAGTTTACTGGAGTTTTTTTTGGCAAGGATTTGGTTTTTTAAAAAAAGATTTTTGGAAGGAGATTTTTGAGGAGTTTTTTGAGATGGCGCCAGAGGTTTAGAGGATGTTTACAGGCTTTTTCGATGGTGTTCCCCACGATACGCCATTTCACGTATCCGTGTGGTGGTACCCAGGAATGTAACCCCTGCTTAAGTGAGAGGAGACAGTTGTATTTGTTTTACTTCTCAAAATCAGTTCTAGGTTGTTGTTGTTGTTTTAAAAAAATGCAGCCTAACAGGGAAAGTTGATGGTTGCTTATCTTTGCAAAATCCCTAAATTCGGGTTCCAGGGAAGGCCAGTTCCCTTAGGGGGCTTGCTTGCTTGCTTGCATGGTGTGGCTTTCCCCCTGCTTTGGGAGTGCTCTTCCCGTTGACCATGTATTATGGTCCGGTGTTGGGACAGCGCCTCCTCTCAAGGAGAAAGCTTAGCTGGGTCTGCCTACGCGGAGGGGAGGGGAGTCGGCAAACACTTTGTAGTCTGCCTCGTCCATCTTTAATTCAGAGACGTATCTCTAACTCCTGGGAGCGCCGCCTTTGATCTCTTTCGATTCCACCCCCCTTTTTTTCCTTTAAAAAAAGCATCGGATCTGTGTTATGGCCTAAAATTCCTCGCTTTTCCATAGAAACATCTCCATTCCTCGGGGATATTGATGTTTTCTTCTTCCTAGGGGTTATGATATGGTAAATCAAATTCAGAAAAGCCGGGACAATGGCCAGCATTCATCGGGGCTGCGGCGGAGGGGCGGCGAGCCTCGCTCCCGTCGCCCAATGAATCAAAATATTGTTCCGCCGCCGGCTCTTGAAGGCCTTTCAGCGCCTCCAACTTTGCGCCCGGAGGCAGCAGGTTGCGCGTTGCCACGGCGACCCTACTGTAGGCCGCCAAGAATAAGGCCCGGGGAAAGGGAGGCTCCCTCTCGGCCAGGCCGCCACTTCCGATGGGGCAGCCACTCGCCTCGGGGACCTCGCCTTGTCAGCGCAACAATGGGCAGCTCCTCCGCCGGCTCAGGGCTTCCCTCCTCCCCGCTCCCTTTCTCGCCTTCCCTTGCCTTTGATCTATTTAAACAGAAAGAAAAGAAAGAAAGAACAAAGTCGGCGGGGAGGGAATTTGCTGGGGGGGGAGGGGGAGAGAATATATTTATTTATTTTGCAGATGCACAGCGATTTTGCTTCAAGGA